TCAAATGCAGAGTGTATTTTATATGTCGAGCCTAATAAATTGAAAGAAAAAAAATTGATTCAGTAAATCTAAAAAATAATCGATTGACAGTGATATTCAGCCGATTACGTACTAGAGCAAAACATCGCCCGGGCACATTTATTGCTTTTATACTCGTAAAATAGAAAATAAATCATCTGTACGAATGTCGAGCATATTTTATAAAATCACATGTCAATTGTGCATTTTGTAACAAAAAAATATGTAGAGGAGGGACAGGTTAAAACAACGAGTGATCGATACAGTACTGATTCCTCGAAAATGAACTATTTTATTTCTAGAACAAGGATTTATCGCGAAAGTATTGAAGCACTGCCGAGACACGTATATTAATAGGTGTAATATTAATTAATAAAAACACACACACACACACACACACACACATCTGTAGCTATGAAATTCGCGTAAAATAGAAAAAGAAAAGAGTTGTAGCGATATATTCAATCTTTGACAAAGTTCCAAGTAATTAATGTACAAGTGTCATTGTAGAGTCCGATCATTTTAAAATTCATGGTTACTTTGAAATGAAAATAAATTGTATCGAATGATCGATAAATTAATAGGATTCATTTTTGAAAAAATTATGAGCTCTGCATAGGAAGTAATAAATAGTTTTCATAGTTTCCGCTTCGCTCTTAAAAAGAAAATTATGCTCGGATGAATATTAATCCAATACTTTATATTTCATCGTAATAAATAAAACGAATAATTAAGCTGATCTAATATGCTGCTTCTTATGCCTCATAATAATTATTATTATTTTCTGTGAATATATCAATCGCAGTTTAAGATATTATGATTTTGTTTTCAAAATTCCTCAATCACGATAGCCCATTTTATTTTCGTAGAAATGCTTTGTTTATTGCAATCGACTGCACAAATTCTATCCAATGGTGTATAAATTCAACAAAACCCCTTTTGGGCGCGATGCAACAATATTATATAATATTATATTATGAAAATATCTCATTGCGCGTTCAAGTTTAATATATGATACGAGACATTTGAGATAAATGTCAAATCCAATTTCCCATAAGAATTATGAAAATTATAATTGGCAGTAATACGATAGTTGAAGTGCTTGAGCAATGTCTTATGTAAATTGAAATCTATAATTGTTTTATGAATAAGTGCTTGATTATTCAATGTAAACCAGTTTGGTTAAATAATTTTCCGAATTTCTATGGAACTTCTTAAGCGTCGATTATTACGAATAATTTCCAATGTTTGCCGAGGCAAATATTTTTTACCAACAATTGTTTTTCAATCAAATTTCAATATGATTATTTGGAAATAAATTTTAACTTGGATAATTCAATGAAAAAGAATTTTGTCGATTATTCGTTCACAATACGATTTCTTTTCATAATTATCATTATCAAAAATATCGAAATAATAATGATAACAACAACAACAACAACAACAACAACAACAACAGCAACAGCAACGATAATAATAACAATAAGATTATTCTTTATTTTTCATTTTATAGTTTATTTTGTTGAACCGATGCACTAGATATACTACACTTTAAATATTATGAAGAGTTTACGAAGTTTGCATACGTTAATTTAGGATATTGAGTATCGTGAACGTAAAAATAGGTCGCACATAATGTCCGTCCCTTCAAGACATTTTGTTATTAAATTTGATTTTTAAAAGTCTAGCATCCAAGGATATCAGCAATGGATGGCAAAATAATTTCGTTTTTAATACAAGCGGATGTGCAAAGCACACGTCAACGGCTATTTTCAAAACACGCGAGCTCCGTTTTCTTTTCTCCTTGGATCGCCGCTTTATTCAGTTCGTCGCGATGCCGCACCACTTGATTTTTAATTATTAAACTGTCGTGCAACGAATCTACCAGCCGAATATACTCGGCTAACTATCGGAGATGGCGAGATGTTGGAAAAACATCAAACGAAAAAACAAACAAAAACAAAAACAAAATGATGAAAGAGAACGGAATAGATGAGGAAAGGAAAGAATTGTGCCAGGCTCGCGCGAGGATAAAGAAAATGGTTGTCTCGTCGTCACAACGAAACAAAGCGTCGTTAAGCTCGAGTGCGATATATGCCCCAACTGTTGGCGACTAGTTCTCGACCCCCACAATTTCCCATCGGACTCGTACACTCTTCTTAACGACTGTACTCGCATGCCAACGCCAGCTAACCAATGTGCACTTTTCGGCATCAGCTGGGGGAGCTGTTACTTCAGCCGTGACCGTTGCACTTATCTTTCGACTCGACGACTACTCGTCTATGGGAGCGCGCGGGCATTTTTTTTTTTTTTTTTTTTTGCGCTTTCGCCATCGTCGTATTTACCGCTTGGGAAAACTTTTTACCTCTGCTAGTTTTTTTGCTTCTCCTTTTACATGCCGACTCCTCGCGCTCTACCTGAATCACGCGTGACTCATTCGCCTCGATTCCTATGGGCGAATATTGTCAAGCTTCGCCGAAAGATGCGACGTTACATGCGTCGTAGTCGTCGTCGTTGTCGTCGTCGTTGTCGTCGTCGTCGTCGTCGTAGTCGTCGTCGTCGTCGTCGTCGTCGTCGTCGTCGTCGTCGTAGTCGTCGTCGTTGTCGCGTATTCGCCTCTATCGCTTATATGTAGCTTTTGATAAACGAACGTTGCGTAAAGTAAAGACAAAACAAGGCAAGACGAGAGAAGACTACGCGTCCCCGCTGCTTCCTTTTCACGTTATACTACGACAAATCAATTTCCCTATATCAAACGCTCAACGCCTTCTACTCCCTATCACATCTACATCACACACCCTTACACATCATTCATAGCCAATGCATTTCCCCATGGCATTGCCGATGCCCCATCATACTCCAATGCTAAATGACATTTGCCCGCAAACTCGACGTATTTTCGCGATTTCGTAACGGCCGAGTGTCGTCGAATCGCCTCTCACCAGCATTGGATTTTCAAATTTCATGGCACATGAACATTTATTCCTCTGCATGTAAATAATGTGCTGAAATAATGTGTTGCCAGTCGCCGAAGCCTTAAGGCTTCCCCAACTAGTCGTCGTGCACTTGCTACTCCACGTGATAACGCTACGTATACTTATATCCTCCACTGGATATACGAAGGATCCTCGATATTAATTTTCATAAGCGAGCGCGCAAGTACTCCAGTACTGCAAATGGCATCCCGATCAATAAATACGTAGTCGAGCGCTTTTAAAGGAAAATCCGACGGCTGCTGATCGATCCAAGCCGATCGGGAAAAGCGAGGGAAGTAATACCTCGAGGAGTTTTCGGAAACGCGTGCGTTGCTCGGCCGCCGCTGGTTCGACCTCGACCTCTACTTCAACGGCAAATTCGCAAGGCGCAACCGATACGTCGTCGACTCATGGGCTCGGTGACCGCACGCACGCACACAGAAAAGCGTGAGCGCGCGCGCGCGGGCGCGCGTGCCTACCGACGAAGCGCTACGAGCGAAGCCTTACGACGCGGGCTTACGGCGCTCGCAATTTACACGAGGTCGACGGTGACGATTACGATGACAACGACGACGACGACGACGACGACGACGACGACGACGACGACGACGACGACGACGACGACGACGACGACGACGACGACGACGACGACGACGACGACGACGACGACGACGACGACGACGACGACGACGACGACGACGACGACGACGACGACGACGACGACGACGACGACGACGACGACGACGACGACGACGACGACGACGACGACGACGACGACGACGACGACGACGACGACGACGACGACGACGACGACGACGACGACGACGACGACGACGACGACGACGACGACGACGACGACGACGACGACGACGACGACGACGACGACGACGACGACGACGACGACGACGACGACGACGACGACGACGACGACGACGACGACGACGACGACGACGACGACGACGACGACGACGACGACGACGACGACGACGACGACGACGACGACGACGACGACGACGACGACGACGACGACGACGACGACGACGACGACGACGACGACGACGACGACGACGACGACGACGACGACGACGACGACGACGACGACGACGACGACGACGACGACGACGACGACGACGACGACGACGACGACGACGACGACGACGACGACGACGACGACGACGACGACGACGACGACGACGACGACGACGACGACGACGACGACGACGACGACGACGACGACGACGACGACGACGACGACGACGACGACGACGACGACGACGACGACGACGACGACGACGACGACGACGACGACGACGACGACGACGACGACGACGACGACGACGACGACGACGACGACGACGACCGCGACGACGACGACGAATGGAACGTCGTAATTCCTGGCTCAGGACATGTCAGAAGCTCGAGAGGGAGACCGTCAGCGGGTAATAGGCTCGATGCGCTACCCCTGGGGCATGGCCCAGGGACCCGTCGTCCCTGTGAGTAAAGGAGGATAATTCGAGCCCTGGAGATTTTTCGTGGGTGAAGGTGGCACGAAGCTCGGTGGCTCGCTGAAAATGGCCCAGCTTTACTGACACCACGGCATTCAATGTTCCGCATTAACATTACGGCGGACGCGCGCACGGAACGACACCCACCGCTAACCAGGTTATGTTCGTCCTCTCTCCCTCGCCCCTCCTGCCCGATAGTCGCATCCATCATTCTCTTCTCTTCTCTTCGCTCTCTCTCTCTCTCTCTATCTCTCTCACCCAGGGCTTTCCCTCTCACTTTACTCTCTCTTTCTCTTTATTTCTCTTTCTCTCTCTCTCTCTCTCTCTCTCGCTCCTCACTCCCTCTCTCTTTCTCTCTCTCTCTCTCTCTCGCTCATCATCCCTCTCTCTTTCTCTCACTCTCTCTCCCCGTGGTGCAGTCACGTCCAGGACGACGATGTCGTGGTCGACAGAACTCCGGAAAATGCATATAAGTAATGGCAGATTTGGGGTGTAAACTCACTTTCGAAGGCCTGCAGGAAAAGTTCGTGGTCCGCCTGCATCTGGTCCATCCTGGTCGGGGGCTGAGGCTGCTGTTTCTGCACGGCGACGGTCGCGACGGCACCCACCACCTCCGCTTCCTTGTCCCGCTTCTTCGGCGGCATTTTCCAGCCTCTGCTAGCGCTGCTCGCTCGACTCCTATCCGCGACTCGCTCTCTCTCTCGCTCGTCGTCGCTGCCGCCGCCGCCGCCGCCACCACCCCCCCCCCCCGCTGCCGCTACCGCTTCCGCTACCGTCGTCGTCGTCGTCGTCGTCGTCGTCGTCGTCGTCGTCGTCGTCGTCGTCGTCGTCGTCCGTCGTCGTCGCCGTCGCCGCCGTCACCGTCACCGTCACCGTCGCCTTCGCCGCCGCCACCGCCGCCGCCAGCACGACCACGACCACCACCACAACCACCACCACCACCACTACAACCACCACCACCACCACTATCACCGCCGCCACCGCCGCCACTGCCGCCGCCGCTGCCTCTGCAACCACCACCTCCCGCACCCGGCCTTCTCCTATACGTGTGAGCGGGCTTGAGCCTGCGCGCGTGTATTAGCGCGGCCACATGCGCTTCAGCGTATGGGTGTGCGTGAAGATACGGCGCGCCCGGAGGCAGGGCAACGCGTGTCCTCGCGCGCGGTTACCCTCGGACCTGACGGTGTCGAGACGACCGAGGTACTTCCACCCAACACCAGTCCAATGTTCCGCACTAGAAGACTGTTCGCGCGCACACACACACGCGCACGCACACAAACGCTGGAGCAGTCGTACTCGTGGAGACGAGGGGCGCGCGCCCAGAGGGACTCTCAACCCGGCCTCTTCTATCCTCCTTCCTCCTTCTCTTCGCTCGCCCCGGGCCCGCGCTAAAGCCCCGTCGACGTTTTGCACATGCGTGGCTGGGCCCGCGAGCGAGGACAGCTTCACCGTCGGGTTTATCGTGCCCGTGACTCCTGGTGCCCCTACCCGCAACTCTGGCGCCGGCGTTGCTCTGTTAACTACTAGGCAGCGTAAGGGAGCCGCGCGCGCCCGTAACAGCCCGAGGAGCCAGCCACTCCTTCTCTTTCTCGCTCGCGCAGTCGCGCCGACGATATTTTGCCCGTTTGGCGGCAGATGACGGTAGAGGCTACGGACCCGAGAGTTCAGACAGAGGCACCGGGGCCGAATGTGTACGATTACGCGGGCTGTTCCCTATGTCCAGACGACTGACGGCTGCGTCGCTCGGCTGTGAAGGGGAAGAGGAAGCCGAAGAGGGGCCAATCGTTGCCTGACGCGCCAAAACTTTTGCCCGTTCGAAATTACTCGCTCGCAGCTCCGCCACTAGGCTCGGCTCCTCCGGTCCCTCCCCGCGATTTACGAATCCACTGAGTTCACCATCGGACGAATGGTTAGGAATAGAGAAGTGCCACTGCTTTCAGGATGGCAGCCTCCAAGTCTATACGTTAACAACTTTTGCTCGCTTTCCAACCTCCTCCATCATTTGTTTATTGAGTAGGCAAACAGGTGCACGATCGCTCTCACCGTCCGTGTCCCCAAGCCCCCACCTCCAATCAGGCGCCCCTTTTTTGTTTTATCTTATTGTGTTTTGAAAATTAAGCGGTTCACGCATGCCTTCCCAACTCGCATACTTTCTCACTTGCACGTAATACAGTCCTATATAAAGCGTCATTCATGCAATTTTACACCACGCAACTTTAGAGCCTTAGTTACGCTCGTCGAGCCTGCCTGCACGAAGCACACGAAAACTTTCTAAAATTATCGCTCCCATGTGCGGTGGAATATTATCATCGGTCGATTTTTCATCTCTAGCTCCAACTCTCTCTCTCTCTCTCTCTCTCTCTCTCTCTCTCTCTCTCTCTGTACACCGATAGCAACAATCGGCAACAATCGGCAACAATCTGTTAGAGTCGAGAAAACCACATACAACATACCAACAACAACAACAACGACGACGACGACGACGACGACAACGACGACAACAACAACAATAATAATGATTATAAAATAGCGAGTAATGAACAAACGGTCGTCCTGATTATGCTGGCAATTGCATACCTCGCACATCATCATCGACGATTATTTGTTGGTCGAGAAACGTTAAGCTTAGAAAGGAAAAAGGCTCGTTACGTATTAAGAATAGAGAGAGAGAGAGAGAGAGAGAGCCGATGGTGCGGAGCAATCATGTTTAAGCCAATATTTAAACAATCATCGTCAATGGCAAAAGGCATATTCGAGCGATCCTCGCGATCCACGCTTTTTGTTGTCATCCTTGACAAATCACACAAAATGCAATTGATTTTTAAAAATAAAGTCAATGAATTTACAATTACAACAGTACATTTATAATTCATATAATTTTTTAAAGAATAATATATGAGCGAATTGGAATAAACTGCTCTTTCATTAGTCACGCTCTTTACTATTTGCACACATGCATTATTGCCCATTAACGTGTGATTTCAGAAGTTTTATGTTTCTATTTTTGTACTCCACGAGAAAAAAATGTTTCTTTAGAATACAATGAAATATAATACAATATTAGTGTATTAATTATTTATCGTGATAATTCTCTTATATTCATTGCTTAATACTAATTATCACGTAATGTGTCAAATTTGGTGGTCTTTTCACACGAATTTCACGCATGCGCGTTACATAATAAATAAGTTTTCTTTTTAATTCCTTCCGCGATGAAGAATTTCCAGTGATTTTTAGAGGAGTGGAATTATAATTAATATATATGCAGCTCCTTTCGAAAATAAATATCATCGATTTATTTAAAATTTATGAAGATATTTATTTTTACAAATTAGCTAATGCACTATACGAATACACACACACACACACATACAAAAGAATATTCATGCATGTGCTCAAGCTCGAACGCGTGCATATATTTTTTCACTCTTTTTTTTTTTTTATACAATCGGAGAGAATGCTGTTAAACAAATTACATTAAATAATTAACAAACGTAACGATCAATATATATTTTTTGTTTTTAATTTGAAAGTTTATATACCAACATTGAGGAGAAGTTTATTAATTTATTCGTAAAAACATAGACTTGTGAAGTAAAAAACATGTTCCATGACATTACCACACGTATAAATTTATGAAAAGTCTTCAATTCGATTACGAAGTAACGATAATAATACAAGAATCGCGAGCCTTAGGAATGGTTATAAATGCATTTGTTGTGTGTTATTAAACGCGCGCTGATTTACCTTTCTGTGCCCTCAGTTATATTCGATATATGCGCAAATACATCATTTAATAACAACATGATCTTTAGGTATGCAATGGACATATCGAAAATGAGAAACATTTGTATTCCTGTAACTGAAATTAATTTTTATTCTTTCGAGTCTCTGTCACTCGCCCACTATCCAGTAAAATATTTGAAAATCATTCGTGTGCATAAGTTCTTTGAATGAAATAATTGAAAATAACCAAAGAAATTGCGTATGTAAGTAAAAAAAAAAATACCAACAATAATGCAAGATAAATATAATATAAAGTTTAGGGTATTTTATGCATTTAATATTGAGTATTCAGATAAAATAGAAATTATAATTGATTTTTAAGCGCAAGAGAAAAAGATGTTTTTCTAATTACTGCTCTTAAAATTAAATTAATTTTTGCTAATAAATGTTTGGAACAGCAATTATATTTCTCTTGGTATGTGTTGGTGCAAATTTTATTCAAATATATTTAATAAGGAGTGCTAATTCTTTTTTTAAACATCTATATACCGGAGCTCTACTTTATAATATGATTGAATGTGGCAAAGTGATAATTATTGATTTAGAGTTGAAAGTTGATGTTATTCATCAAAACATTGATGCAACATCAATTATATTAAAATTTTAAAGAAATGTTTGAGCTTCCGTGTACATATATATATATATATTTAATAAAAATTATAAATACAAAGTTTCTGCTGTTCAAAATAATTTTAATAAAATTTTCAAGTGACTTTTATTAAATTATATGTTATTTAAGCGCAAGGCTCGATATCAACAGATATGAATATGAATTTCTTGTTTAATATTATGTGCAATTTTATAAATAAGAAAGGCTATTATAATCAATGCATATTGCTATTGAGAAGTGGAATAATGAAATTGTCGAGTTGATTTGAGTAAGGACGTTGACGCTTAAGCAAATATAGAAGATACTTTAAAGCCGTGTCATATTGCTAATGAAAATGGCCATAGAAATGACATTAAATTAATATAGTTTAATTTTTTTAAATATTATAATATTAATTTCTAATTTTCAATGCTACATTGCATTAGTTGTGTACTGTAAATAGCTAATTTAATATGGGCTATTTGTTACAAAAGTTTGTCACGAATGGATAATTGAAAGCTGTTGAAAATCTTTTAAAATCAGTACGATGTTAATATATTAGATCAATTAATATCTAGTAGTAGGTGATATACTGTTGTAAGAAAAGAAGGTTACATTATAAATAAGTTATTAAACTGTAAAACTCAATGTATTATGCTCCCATGAGAGCATTAGTTTTTCAAACTTACTAAGGTGTCGTTAATTGAGAAAAATAATAACGAACCATTGAATCTTGCTGTTTTAAAGATATACATAAATTCTACTAAAATGCTGACATTTTCTTATAGCATTGCAACGCCATTAATTTTCATGATATATGTGTGTGTGTGTGTGTGTGTGTGTGAACGAACAGCACTTGTAGCGTTACTTTTAACTGTCTTGAAAAATATATAACTAAAATTGAGGCTAATGCTCGATACTTAACGTTGTAAATGATATAAATAAATTTTTCTTATCTAGTATTTTTCTTTCATCGTGGCAGTATAATTTCAATGATACGACGATGCATAGATATAATAGTTACATACGTTACATCCATGCTAATGATTATAACATTATAATAATTTACTAGTCATTATAATAACATTGTAAAAATTCTTGAATTTTGGTCGCAGTGAAAGTTACAAACTTATATGTAAAAGTTATTTATCATTATTTGATACTTAAAAATATAATTTCACAAATGTTATAATGTGAAAAAGATAATTATAGAGAAAACAACAAATTATACAAATATTTGTAAGGAATTAAAGCATAATGCAGTCGTCAGAATCAAATGATTGTAAAACAAAATTTCATGTTCATGGTAAGATGATGTATAAAAGATATTACGAAGGCAGTGGTGTGAATTTCAAAATTCTAACAGATACTTGTAAGTCTATCAAAATTATATATAATCCCTTATATCAATCAATAACTGTAATATTATATTATAGGGATGTTATTATATACAATAAAATTCATAATTTTCTAGGTTCGTAAAATTTATAAATTCTTAAAAACAACTTAATAACTTTGGATTTATTTATTTGCTATTGATTTCTTATGCTCTCGGCTTTATATCTAAACGTAAATGCCTGTTTTATTCCATTCTTATTTTACCTATTAATATTTATTGCGCCCTTTATTACCTTTACAATAGTCTTTATATGCATGTTATTTAGTTTTTGCGCAATAATAATAGTACCTCGAGTAAGTGTGTAGCCCATTAATACTTTGTCTACCATTAATAATGATATGTATGGAATTCATCTCAACCAATTCGATTCATATCAGGACGTTCCCATTATTGCATGACCGACCCTTTCCTCATATTTTATTTTTGCTTTTTATTTTTTTTGGCTTTCAAATGGGCCTTCAAACCTCTTGCGCTAGAACTACTCACGGCGTGTACACCATCAAGTCCAGCAAACCCATTATGAGTGGAAAATCACCGTCTATTGCCGTCTCCTCAATGGTTTTGCCTAGATAATCTAAGATTCAATTTAATAATTCAATCGGATAATACCGATGCCTCGAATTCGGACGAAGGCATCGGCGAACAATTGGGTCCCTCAAAGAGAAGCACATCTGCCTTGATAACACCATTTTCTCGCATCTTGTGCACAAAGACAAACGCGAGTACATTTTCATGTGGTACAAGAACTAGGAGTCAGTTTGATGGAATTGCAATAACTTTTAGGATGTGAAAACCAAGCAAGATGCATAAGTATGAGTCAAATCGCGATGTAATGAAACGTATTCGCATCTTCGTTATGCATAAATAATTTCTACCCGTTGTTTATAAACGTACACCAAGGTATGACTATTAATGATCTACAATAAATTTCACTTTAGATTAGAACGAGGTATGTTTTTAAATTTTTACGCCTTGCTCTTTGATTTTCTGTAGTGCCCAAGATACAGTTTCAAGGATTTCTATTACTATTAACAATAATATTTACGAAATTCAAATAACTTTATAAATAATTATTTTTACCATTCTCATTAGATATAATGATATGAAATTATTATAGAAATAATTATATTTGCTTAAAACTAAAAATATTCACACTTAATATTTATTCCTAGATGAAACAGGATTTACATAAATATATAAGAATCGGTGGCAGATTACTACTAGGGGACAATGAACATTTCTTTTTTTTTACTACAAAATTTTTTATTTTATCGCTCAGTTACATAAGAATTTTAAATTATTACAATAAGAATTTAAAAACTCATAAATTTAAAGGTTTCAGGACATTCCTGTGAATAATAAATTTATTGACGAAAATTGACTTTTTTTAAAAAAGCGAGGATCGCTCGAATATGCCTTTTGCCATTGACGATGATTGTTTAAATATTGGCTTAAACATGATTGCTCCGCACCATCGGCTCTCTCTCTCTCTCTCTCTCTCTATTCTTAATACGTAACGAGCCTTTTTCCTTTCTAAGCTTAACGTTTCTCGACCAACAAATAATCGTCGATGATGATGTGCGAGGTATGCAATTGCCAGCATAATCAGGACGACCGTTTGTTCATTACTCGCTATTTTATAATCATTATTATTGTTGTTGTTGTCGTCGTTGTCGTCGTCGTCGTCGTCGTCGTTGTTGTTGTTGTTGGTATGTTGTATGTGGTTTTCTCGACTCTAACAGATTGTTGCCGATTGTTGCCGATTGTTGCTATCGGTGTACAGAGAGAGAGAGAGAGAGAGAGAGAGAGAGAGAGAGAGAGAGAGTTGGAGCTAGAGATGAAAAATCGACCTATGATAATATTCCACCGCACATGGGAGCGATAATTTTAGAAAGTTTTCGTGTGCTTCGTGCAGGCAGGCTCGACGAGCGTAACTAAGGCTCTAAAGTTGCGTGGTGTAAAATTGCATGAATGACGCTTTATATAGGACTGTATTACGTGCAAGTGAGAAAGTATGCGAGTTGGGAAGGCATGCGTGAACCGCTTAATTTTCAAAACACAATAAGATAAAACAAAAAAGGGGCGCCTGATTGGAGGTGGGGGCTTGGGGACACGGACGGTGAGAGCGATCGTGCACCTGTTGCGTGCTCCATAAACAAATTAAAAAATAAAAGTTTGGAGATACGTTAGCCCGGGGGTGAACTCGCCGGGACCATTAATCTTGGTGAGAAAAAAAAAAGAGAGAGTTAGTGAGGAGGGGGTGAGGGATACACCGGTTCTGTGATCCATTTGTCTTAACCTTTTCTACTTCGCGGGCCTTAATTTCTCCGAAGCTCTAAGCCATTCTTTTTTTCCTTTAGTTCCACATAACACAAGCACGTGTGCAGCTTCCCTTGGCTGTTCTGCTACTCAGTCGTTGAATCGGCTTTTAGAATTATCCGCGAGAGGCAGTAGCGTAGAACTGGTAAGAATCGTGTCCGGATCCGGCCAAACGCGATTGGCGAATGGCGATCTTCCTTTTCATCTCTCGTTTCATAAGATTCACCCATATTTATAATGCGTCGGAATACATGGTTGGCTCAAACTCAGTCATGGAGTTCGTTGGCGGTAGTGGTTGCGTGAGAAATTCCAGGGGCTGATATTTTGCTTTAGAGCCGAATTTTCCGAAAGTGTTGCACGCGCTTCGGCTTCTTCGGCCTTTTGGCTACGATCAACTTGACGCGAGGATACGGGACGTGCGACACGACGGCATTCAAGTTGGTTCTTCGTTATTTTAGTGAACTCCTCCATTGACGAAGGAGTCTCGACTGCGAGTCCTAACTGCTGGCCGGACCACAACATCAACAACGACAACAATAATAATAATTATAATAATACCTCGCTCCAGCAATTGTGGAGAACTACAAAAAATGGATATTGGTATTCATTTTTATTTGACGTTTGGAGTTTGCAACGTGCAAGCAATAGCAAGCCATCTCGCAGAAAAAATCGTGAAAATTACGGGACATTTTTAACTTGTAGACGTAACCTCTAAGCAGCAATTATTTCTGGTCGTAAGCGTATCTTTCGTTGTTATTTTTGTTTGTCGGACGTTTGTGTTGGTTTATTTGTTCTATTGCTGTTGATGTAAATGAAAGGAACGTTTGTCTGTTCAATGATATTTTTAGAAAGTGTATCTGGCCAATTCAGAATGCTGGAATAAAAACAAACATCTGTCTGTATGTATTGTTGGTATAGATGATGTATTTTTATGGGTTTTCTTTTTCATTTTTTTCAGAATCGCCGAAAAACGATGATAACGATAACTGTTGCAAACCATCCTCGAGTTGCGAGGTTTTATCAAACTCGAATTCGACAGAGGCATCGGATGAAACACCACCGGATAAGCTCGATACCTTAAATAGTAAAGATGATAATATTTCTAATATGGCAAAGGAAGATTCGCGTGAGAAAATAGATTTCAAAGTAATTTATAACAAGAAAAAGATCGATGTCACTTTTGCGTTGGATGGCACCGTTGCGGAATTAAAGGCCTACCTTCAGAATATCATATCCGTGCCGCAAGCAATGCAAAAAATTATGATTAAGGGATTAGCCAAAGACGATCAGACTCTTAGAGTTTTAGGTGTAACAAAAGGTTATTATTATACAAACGCTGGTGGTAGTACGTTGTATATGCGAGGGAGTCTCATTGCGCGTGCATTATGTAAGCTTATCGTTGGTTATAGGTGCCAAAATTATGATTGTTGGATCGAAGCTGGACGATGTTTTAGCTGTTTCAATACCTACGAAACAAGAATTGGTGGATGAAGCGTCATCTTCTAATAAAGAACCTTTATCTCAACAAAAGATTCATCGTAAAGTCTTAGATAAAGGCGTTCCCGAAGATGTTATGCCAGGAATTTTAGAAAGTCAGGTAATTTTAAAATTCAAATCGCTAATTAATATCCGTTTCGAAACTCCAGCTCAATTTCTAAGAGAATATGACATTACCATACTTACGTTAATTTTAGGAACCTCTTCCTGATTATCCCTTAGCTGGAATGTTGAATAAATCCGGTGGTAAAGTTAGACTAACTTTTAAATTAGAGCAAGACCAATTATGGATAGGAACTAAAGAGCGAACGGATAAAATACCAATGAATTCTATTAAAGATGTCCATAGCGAGCCAATTCATGATCATCCAGAGTACCATATTATGGTATGTTAAAGTAACATTATATATCTATTAATTGGGATAGAATCATTTTTTGCTGAAAATATTTACTTTCTTTCGAGAAATAGACTTACTTTCAAATATAAATGATTATTATGTTAAATGGATGATTCTATCAATTAATGACGTCAATTATCAAGAAAAATATTATATTTATTTTTACATATTCAATATTTGAAAGTGAAATTTTAATTATCATTATCTGAAATTTAGGGTATTCAATTGGGTACGACAGAAGCATCGAGGTATTGGATTTATTGGGTACCTTCGCAATACATATCAGCAATCAAAGATGCAGTTCTTGGAAAATGGTGCTACTTCTGATCAAGTGTTAGTGAATGTTGTTTTTTTTTTTTTTTTCATTTTTTAAACTGAACGTAATCAGATGTGAACATCGAGACAAACGACTGTGCTAGTCAGGCATTTTAAACAGTAAGTACATAATAACTTATTATACATCAAGATTACGTAAATTAGTCAAGATAAAATGTTATCCGTACAAGGCAAGTGAACGATTTGTTAAAAAAAAAAGCTAGATTTTTCATACGAGCGAAATTATTTTCCTGTTTCATTCGTTTTTACAAAGAAATGTTGTATCTTATAATCTCTGTGTAGGTTATTCTATTGAAAACAATAAATACTAATAATTGTTGTTTTTAATATTATTTTATTTTGGAATTTCTCCTTGTTGTTAAGATCGATATTGAATGTCTTGAAAATCAATTATTCAATGGTCGAGGGAGATAAATAGTTTTAAATTGTTTGAGTAATTAATTGCATAGCTAATTATGTAAGAAAGAAATTACATCGTTATTATTTGTTTATGTATGTAAAAATAATTTGATAATTGTAAGATTAGTTTAAGCTGTTATGGTGAAGAAATTAACAAAATTAATTATATTTAATTGCTTTGATGTAGGTAAAATTTGTTTTGAATTTAATATTCTATTCAGAGATTAAATTCATATTTACGTACACGGAATGTCAGTCAAGGTCTTAATTAAGGAATAATAAAAATATTCGAGCGAAATTGCGTACATAAATCGTGTATGTCAGAAAAATTAGTTCCGAGCTGACGAATTGCTCGCTGGATTTGTTTGATGTGATCTTTTTTTCTTTTGCCAAGAGCTTCATTTTGAAAGCTTTAACATGTAAAAAAAGACCATAAATATAAACTTGTTTAATAAATGCATCGTTCTAGATTATTTATGTTGAGAGAACGAATAAAATTTCGAATATTTTTTAACATATTCGTACGTTGTAATATGAGAACGAGTTGTTGCTTTACATATCCTAATCATGTTAAGAAAGTAAACTAAAAGCGTCTTGCGCTCTAAATAAAGATAAAATTTAAGCAGTGCTTTGTGATATATATATATATAACAACAAGGATTGTAAAATCGTTGCACACTTGTTGATTGCATTGTAGCATTAGTCTGTGAAGTAACGACTTATTCTCCCATCGAAAGAAGTATGCCAATAATAATCAATGGATTATTCTTCGTATATTGGCTTAGAAAATTTGCAAATAAAATCTTGTGTTGTGCATTATTTAAATAAGGGTAAAGCAAATAAAAATGATATTGACAATGACAGTGTCAATAGACGATTAATCGGTATGGATTATGTATCATCAATCGGATAGCACAAACATAAAAGAGAAAGTAATTCTCTGTATTGTATAGTTGTAATACTTTGTAATAATATTTTGTACAATTTTTTAAGTACAGGAAAATAAGAATTAAGAAAATCATTGGTGAGGGCAAAATTCCAGATAATGGCGAATCAAAACCTTTTTTTACAACCGTAACTGTGCTTTAATAACATACACATTATCACTCATCCAAATCCTTTACAATAATCCTCCGACAAAAGTTCATAAAACGAAGCTGGACGAATGCAAAAAATAAAGCGATTTTTTTTAATTAATCACTTCTGTGCTGATTACAACAAGTACCTTAACTTTAATTATTATTCTAATTTATATTTGTAAATCGTATGCATATTCTTTTAATTATGACTATCAGATGCCAACATATGCAGTGCAACGGTTAATAAAAACACGTATGTTATAAGTGTGTTTGCAATATTTCAGTTCAGTTTAATTATAAGATAATTATTTAAAGTAATTTAATTAGATGAATTGTTTGCACTATAAATAATGCACAAAACTAATTTATAAGTTGTATAATTATAAAGATTGACTGTTATAAATAAAAATTGAAAGTGAATTGATATTACAATTAATCGGATATACCAATTTTTATCTTAAGCGCTGGATTGTTGAATATTTTAACGAATTAATGTTAAAAGCAAAATAAATATTACTTTTCTTATTTTCGATTATGAGCTGTGACATTAATTTTGTTAATGTGTGTAAAAGAAATTAAATTGACTTAAAAACGAAAAGAAAAAGAAGAAAAAAAAGATTTTAGGTATGTTTGAAAATAAATATTAATTTTGTTGAAAAGTTTATTTATTAAGAATCACGTTTTCATCAACATAATCAATATACCTCTATTTATTTAGAATTTAAATAATAATTTATTATAATTCGGTCTATTTTAATGAAATTGAAGCTAATGAATCATTCGATAATTTGTCAAACAACGTCACTCGAAGTACATAATTTTTTTGTCAGTACGGTAAGTCTCGAGAAAAAGGATTCATATTTTAAATTTTCCGTTTTATGTTCAAGTATCATTTAAGAAGCAAAATTAATTTTAATTCAATATCACATTCCGAACAATTGATTCTTAAAATTATGATAAAAATTACCTGCCTACGTTTGTTTAAAAACTGTTTAAAAAATTCTACAAAAAGAACTTCTTTTTTTTTTTCTTTTTGCTTTTTAACATATACAACATATCGGTAAATTTTTAATGGTTCCATTTATGTTTCACAATGTAATGTTCCACTGCATTGTAGTTTGTTTCAATTACTTTTTTCATTTTAATTACATCCTATATTTTTCACATAGAAATCGATATTTCATTTAAGTTTATATATAATTATTGGTAAAAGCGAATTTATAAGAGTGCATAAGTGATGCCCATATTGTTTTTTTTTTCTCATGTGAACAACGTGTGTAAGTCGTCGTGCTTTTGGAAATGTTAGAATAACCGCATTACTTTCCGTACTCTCTCGGCATAATTCTTAAATTGCCTAAATTTGCTTAAGCTTTTGTAAACCGTCTACATTAGATGCGACAATAGCAGTGAGTAATTTTCAGTCATAAGTCTGAAAAAACAAGAAATGAAGAAGAGAGAGGGAAGTCGGACGATTACGCACGGCTTTTATTGTCTTCCCGGCTCGTTTAAAACAAAACAAAAACAAAAAAAAACCTTTTAAACTTTACGATGAAAGGTAAAATCGACTATACTCGACGCGTCGTCTCGCTATTAAAAAAAGGCTTTAAAAATAAAAAAAAATTCATCGACAACGTACGCCGTGAAAAAAGCAAATAAAGCGACGAGGGGAGCGAAGAAGAAAACAAACATATCCACGAATGTTGTCGGGCAACAGCACACATATTTTCACGATATCTCATCGGGGCCTCTTTATTTACAGTGCATCCCGCCGACTATCCAACTACAAAGTGGCAAATAGAGTGCATCCGTCTCCGTCTCAGCGCGTTGCCTTCCTCATATTAATGCAATGCGGCCAGTGAAAGAGGCGGTCGGTCCGCCCGGGGGGATTATGTTTGCGTGCGCGTGTAGTAGCGTGTACGTGTGCTACTGGCGATTGTGATTTTCTAGTGGTAGCGGTTGCGGTGACGGTGGGTGGGTAAGGGGAAGAGGCGCGAAGGGACAGGAGAAGAGCCGAGGAACGGACAAAGCCTTCCGCCTGTCAACTGCACGTGCCGGCAGGAAGTGGCTCATTGAGACTCCCGAAGGAGAGGAAAGCTAGAGCGTAAACAGCCTCCCATTGACGGCCGGAGGCAGATGTTACCGCCTTTCGAGACCTTTCCACATCACCCTTCTTTCATATTCCATTCTCGTCCACCCACGCGAGTCCACGGCACCCATAGTCTCCCCTCCTCCCTTCTTCTCGTCTAGTCTAGTCTTAAGTGACCGGGATACAGTTGGGCGTTAGGAGGAGCGCCGGCTCCTGCAGAGTTGCTTGGACCGTCGTTGGATGTCGGAAGGTGCTGCTCGGGAGGCAGTTGGAGCAGCAGGCGCCGCCACTCACCCGTGCCAGTATCGTCCCGATATCGACGGAGCGGCAGCGGGTAACGAGGGTAAGTGGAATCGCACCAAGCTATTTGATATCGGCAAGCCGTATCGTGACTTTCTCGGCTCGAGTTGGTTTTCCATTAAAAGCGGCCGACCGTTCCTTTGAAGTCTTTGTTAAAGCTGACAGCGCGATTATCGGATTACGATAACCATACGAGGCGGCGCGTTTTCAAAATTACACACGTAGCCGTAATACGACGATCGCCTCGATCGTCACGATGGTGGGGGGCAATCTTGGCTCTAATTACGGGGCGAGCATGAACACTCGTTCGTACGCGCCTATTACGATTAGCGTGGAGCCGTCGCGGTCGGGCGCGAGGGCGAGTTGTTTGTTGTTTCGCGTCGCATTCGACGTCGACGACGGGGGGACGAAAATAAAGGAAATTGGTGATGGGTGCCGTGTAGGAGCCAATGGGCGTCTCAAGCCGTGATTCCACGTGTGATCGATACACGATTTGCCCCACCAGGCGGGTGTGCCGGCGGGGCAACGTGAGCTAGTGGCGGTGGCGGTGGCAGCGGCGACGAGCGAAAGAAAGAAAAAATAAAGAGAGGGAAATAATAGCCGGGGGCCCGCTACTACTGCCGCAGGTCTCGCCGCATTTCACGGGGCAGTCATAGCACCGCCTCGATCCTGCGTGGAAGTGGCTCAAGGCCAAAAATACTCTCGTGCTCGCCGATGTGTAAACATCGAGCGCGCTCGGGTTTCTTTAACGCGCACCTTCTCTCATCGTAATCGCGAGTCCAAGTTACGTGGGGCCGACCTTACGTACCGCGTATTTCAATTTTGCTTTGTGAGTGAGAGGCACGATTTATCGGCGCTGGGCGCATAAAGCGTCGGTTAGCCGCGCGGGTTCGTCTTTTATCCTCTTGGCTCGCGATTAGCATTACCGTTGAGTATCGGCGAGTCGTACGCGCGGAGGACACTTTAGTTCTTTTCTTTACTTCGGGTAGAATTTATAACGAGCCCGAGGCTGCGCCACTTTAAAGGTGCTCTTTATGTAAGTAGTCAGGGTAAGTTCGTGTGCGTGAATGGGGCCGTTGAATGTAGCTGGCGAGGCCGTTTTTGTAAATAGATGGCTTAAGAATGATTGTTTATAGAGAGATTTGAATTTATCGTCGAGTAGCCTCGGGGTATTGTAAATAGTAATTTTTCGTAATTGTAAATAGTTTGTCGTTGTTTTAGCGCTTTGATTCGATGGATGGAGATTAAGTACTTGGATATGATAATAGTGAAGCGGCAGTTGGAGAATACCTGAGGCAGTGGAGCATGGAATAGAGACAGAGTGGCTGTGTCGTCGCATGAATCATCTTATTACGATAGATCATTATCATTAACGTACTTGAAATGTTAAGGAAATTTATTGGAGGTCAATATGTCGCAGAAGGCTCAACACTTGCAAGTTATAAGAGAAAGGTTTCTTCGATTAACCGAAGAGTTTCTCGAACGAGGAGTATCTCTAGCAGATTTAAGACTTGCCAGTATTACAGATATACAAGACCAACGTAATAATCAGTCAGCCTTGGGCTTTATGTACAATAAGAAGCTTATTCTAGTTATTCTATTGCCACTTTTGTATAGCATAATCGTCGAGCGATACGGTATTGATTTTGTGATCGAGTACACACAAGGTACAAGATGTTTAATACCAAACAATTACTTAGTATGGGAATTCACGCGGCCCGTCTCAAATTGCGATTTTTGTCGGGGTGTCAATTCGGCTCTAGTCCTAGATAATTTAACGAGAGAGGAGTTTGGAAAGTACGCGTATTCTTCGAAGCCGATAATTGTGAAGAAGGCTGCTAGCCACTGGTTGGCTTCCAAAGTATTTAGTTTACATTTCTTCCGTAGCTTATACGAACATATAAACGGTGCTTACGAATCCATCGAAGAAGAATGCCAATTCTTACACTTTCGAAGCAATTTTGCCAATTTGAAGGAAGTATTTTCTATGAGCGAACGAAGGGCGCTGAATTTACCTGGCGAAGAGTCCTGGTACGTTGGATGGAAAAACTGCCATCCTCAAGTTCTAGATATAATGAAGAAATTTTATGAGCCGCCTCACTTTTTACCAGACGATGCAGAAATACCAAATACAAATTATATATTTTTAGGATACGAGCAGGGTGCTGTCATGCATGTAAGTAGTGAATCTTCAATTGTGCATTGGAATTAGTATTGTTGGCAAAGACAAAATATTCTACTTAATCCTATGTAATTTTTAGCTCGATTACATTCCTCGACTTATGTGGCAAGGCCAGGTGATTGGTAGTAAAACATGGACTGTCGCGCCAACACCAGAATGCGACGATGTTTGTGAAAAATTTAATTTTTTCGTTGATACGGGAGACATAGTACTACTGGATACGAGAATATGGTATCATGGCACACAAGTAGAAAATGGACAGTTTAGTCTCACTGTCACTTCCGAGTACGGATAGACTGACTATCAAGATGTTAGATTATTTTATGCGTAAAATATTTTAATTCCACAGATTGCTCACTAAGCAATCGTGAATTAAAGTTTTTTTATTTTAAATTACGACTTAGGTTTTATTGATCTAAGATAATTTTATAAATATTTACCAGAAATCTTGCCATAATTTATTGTTAACGATGATGTATGATTTTATATTTATTATTAATAATTTTAAAATATTTAAAGTATTTTAATGAATAAATAAATTGCCTACAATTCTAGCGCAAAATATCGGGATTTTATGTTTATTTAATATGCTTGTTTTAAATAATTTATTTGATTACCTTGTATAAAGCGTTCGTTTGGAAAAATTGGAAAAGTTAATTCAGCGATAAATAAGATCAAAGAGTTATATGTAATTTTACGATATTTGTAAGCTTGATAATAATATTAAATCAGTGCCAAAAAGTTACTCGCATTGGTAAACATATTGAAATTATGCGATAAAAGTATTTTTTTTTAAAAAATGCAAAATCATTTGTCTACTGCCATATTGCTTGCTTTGCAGAGCAAAAATCAAAGATAAAAATCAAATTATTTATATTATATGAACATTCAGAGTACAATATTGTAAGGAAATATTTCTGAATATACTGTAAACAGCAGAAATATGTTTTATATTAATTACTTTAGCTAGTCGGTAATAAAGAATTAATATCTCACATATTTGTAAATGAGTCCTTGTAAGACTGAAAGTACAATTAAGTTGCAAAGTTGTATTACAAGTACTAAATCAATATTGTTAATTTTATTTTTTACATTCAAACTTTGCTACGGATCTCTTAAAAATACTGTATAATACAAAAATCTTTTAATAAGAATATTATCTAATAAAAATTGTTGAAGTATTAAAAGCATTATAGCTTGCCTTACTCTTAATAATAATAATAAGATTTTCAATATACCTTATTATCCTTTTCGTCCTTTGTGTAAGCATTTGCCATTTATTTCCATTTATACAGCAATTAGCATTGCATAAAATCATAAATAACCATAATTCAAGGCTGTGCAATTATACGTGCTCGTGTGCGTGCGTGCGTGCGTGTGTATTACAACTAATGTTGGTAGGTAAGAAAAAAAACTTTTAACTTTTTAACGTTTTTATCATTATTGCAAAATTTATTGTAAAATTTATTGAAGCTAAACAATAATGAGTAACGAATAGTCGCGATAAAGCCGTATATCTGAAAATATTGAGTGACTGGTTTTAGGGACGACCTGAAAAAAGAATCGAAGGACTAAGGTAATTCTAGAATTGTACGCTAATTCGTGAACATTTTAGATGGGGGAAGACGGCGAAAAGCTGGGAGAATGAGGGATAACGAGGGAAATGTATTTGTCAGCGTGAGAACGTATTCTAAGCGGAAAAATTCGTTCTTTGATATCCCGATATAGAAGATATAAAATCAGTCGTCGGCCTTTGTCATAGGATACGTATAAGAATTCTAATTTCGAATTGCTGAGAATATTGTGAGAAAACGAATTTAAAACGTATGTGATGTACGTTTGTTTTTTGTTTTTTTTTAACCCAACGCATTTAAGTAAAGAAGGCCAATCACTCGCAATTGCGTAATGTACATTGACAGAGCATGAATTTGCTAATTGGCTTAAACGTCTTATAATGTTTTCTGCATTATAGTCGTTAGCATTTATTTTCATTGGGTTACAAATTTCATCCTTCGGCACACAATACTTTTCCTTTTACTTACATAATAATATCGAACGAATAATACCTGCTTTTGTAGCAATATACTTTTAAATTTATAAATAAAATGCGTATACGTAAGAAATATTTTCGAGGTCCGCAAGAATACACGTTGCGCAAAAAGTACGAAATCTTTTTATTTCAATATCATTAAAACTATTCGACTTAAATTTTAAAAGTAATGCTGGAATCATTTTGGAATTAAAAGATGACGGAGAGAAAAGCAAAGAAAACATTATTTGTCCTGTTTCAGGAACAATATTTGTTACTGATGTTAAGGGACATTGTTTTACACTACGCACAATGTAAATTTAATATCCGGACAAATAGAACTCGTAATTGTCATATTTTAATTCTTAACAAGAACGTCACACCGTACACTTGCACATTATTAATAAAAAAATCATACTAGGAAAAAAGAAAGAACTTTTATTATTACGTAATTATATAATAAAGTTTTCCTTTTGTAATATATATATATATATATATATATATATATATATATATATATTTGAAATAAGAATCGTTGAAATTTACTTCTAATCTAGACGAAATAACTCGAGAGAAATTTAATTACAGAAGAGTATATTATTGCATAGTGCCTTCATTACACAATGTCACATTCAGATTAATTAAATAAATTATTTCATTTAAAAATGAACTCTACCAATGCAAACTTGTTCCATTAATTTTCATATCGATTCTCAATATATATATATATATATATATATATATATACGATTAATTATTGATATTATCGATAACAAATCCAATAAAATCATGAAAAAAATGTGCTCGTTTTTATGTAAAAAAAAAAAAAAAAAAAATTAAAAGTTGTTAAAATTAAGCTAAACGAGTATATGAGAAATAATAAAGTGATTATTAATAGCGATGTTTAATCACATCTTACAAATGACTAAGTCCCAGCTAGATTTTTATCAGTTTTAATAAAATACTGGCTTAAAAAAAAATAAGATTTCGTTGAAAATATCGTACAAAGCAGTGACGCAAACGTATTTTCAATGTCAATAAGTCTGATTACATTTAATATGAAATCAGATAGAAAGTATAGCACAAGCAAAAGCCAGTATTTACGTGTTTAAAGAGTGAGGGAGAGTGAGAGGGGGGGGGGGGCGAGAGAGGGAGAGAAGCCAACGCGCGAACATAATATTTCCCTTTTCCAATTATCTCAAAATTAAAACTCCATGCTTTCGTAAGCGTAATAATGAAATAATGCAAGCTGGTTTGATTGGATGATATTACCTCATGTTTCTCTGCTTACGCGATGCTCTGTCTCTGTCTCGACTCCATAATAAAACCCCTCCATTTACACCGACGACCATAATACCAACTTGCAGTTGCTACTCGAACCGAAAACCTCACGACGTTTAACATCTTGTATCATCGATTGCATCGATTGCAGCAATAACATCGGGAAAATAAACGGGGCCTTACATAAATAAATGCTTGGCTGCTTCGTTCCTTGAAAGGTTTGGACGATAAAAAGCGACGCTTAAGCTCAAATCAAACTCTCCTTTGTTTAGAAATTTGTCGCCGATTCTTTTTCACGAGCCTTCTGACCCAAGTGATTATGCGTATTTTGGGAAAAATTAATACTAAAATACGAATATGATAATGTTTATTTAGAGTAGTGCGGCAAAGTTTCAAAGAAACACGAAGAAGAAGAAGAAAAAATTATAATAATTTTTAAAATCTTTACGAACAATGATGTTCGTTTGCGCAATCGTTTCCAAAATACATTTTATCATGTAATTTCTTTACAATTTATTCTTAATATTATTACATAAAATTACTTAAAATTATTG